TTTGTTTTTTAGGGTTTTTTTTTTTTTTTTTTACTAACATCTATCAACCCAGGTCTACCCAGGATTATTATAATAATAAGTAAAAGTTACTTTAAATAAAATAATATATTTGTTTTTTAATTATATATATTATAATTATATTATAATTTAAAAAGACAAAATATTTCAAACAGAAAATATAAAAATTAAATCTCTAATAGATTCTAATAGTATACCAATAATATGTCAACTCTAGTAGTATATCAATGATACTACAATAACTCTGACTCCTTGTTTAATAATTGTAATTTATATCTGTAAAATAAGAAATGTTTTGTTTTAAAATTTCAAACAAGCTATAAAAAAGTATTGTACAAATATATAAAACATGGCCTGAGAATTTAAATCAAAAAGAAGAAGAAAAAGAAAGACAACAATATTTTTTTTATAGTTGTCCCATTGTCACAAGAGTTTGTTGAAACAATGCTTTTGCACACGAAGGCCTAATTTTCAGAGGTGTGACAAATCCTGAGGGAGCTCAGACACGATACAAAACATGAAATACAGAAGGGGAAATATTTGTCTAACAGAGAGAGCCAAGAAAAGCTGTTTATTGTCCAGTCGCAACATGAGAGGTCTGTGCCATGTATGGATACAGCCAGACCAGGGGTCAATATGGGATGGCTCATTCTTTTACATACAAAGTGGTCTCAACCCTTCAGACTGACAGCCCACTTTTGCTCCCCCTCCCCCTGTTTTCTCCTCGTTCCATTCAGCCTATTATATCCCTCTGAGGACAGGAAGTGTAATGTGACTCCACGGTCTGAGCCCCTTGCTTTAATCTGGGCATGGCTGGAGTCCAACTGAGTGTATCACATTCACACAGTCTCACACACTGCGCTGCGGAGGATTACAGCGACCCGGGTCACACACACACACACAGTGTAGAGCTACGGCCTGTACCAGGCGGTGAGGATTAACTTGTCTTGGTTTAGCTTACTTGTGGAACTGGAATTCTGCATTGCTTTCCTTACTGGATGATACCGACTGTTGGTCTCTCCACAGCTGAGCGCCGGCTCCGAATGCAGCTGTAACGTGGGTCCTGACGGAACCAAGAAGAAGAAATCCAAAAACCTGTAAGTCCCATTGCCATTTTCTCTGCATTATGTTTGCCACTGCTGTTGGTGAGTGTTATCAGTCTCCACAAGTTTCTTATTTTGTCATTTAATGTGATGTTTTGAAATAGTTGAGTGTTCTCAGAAAATCTCATAGTTGCTCATCAGTTCTTCCTTAGTTCTTTTAGTCTAGTTCAGTGTCTACTAGTTTTGTGACACAACTATGGCAAATTAGAGGCTAGACCCTGACATGATTTTTCTTTTGAAGAGGTCTCATTTGTTAACATTAGCTTTTGCGTTAACTTACAATAAGCAATACATTTGTTACAGTATCTTAAATTAAGTTAAATAATATTAACAGATACTATGATTTTTTTTAAGTTGTTAATAAAACAAAGATTATTAGAGTACTTTTAACAAGAAAATTCCATTTCGGTCTTTCTACTTTTAATTTAACGTTGCTTGTTTCCAGGTAAACCCTTTTATTGTTGTTGAAAAATGGAGCCTTATTATGAAGTGTTACCAAGAGAGTATAAAATTGAATCAGCATTGAGCTTTCATATGACTGAAGACAATGCATAGCACCACATCATGAAATCAGAATGATCGTAGTGAGGATTTAGAGTGGTTAGAGCTTTGAATTGGAAATGAACGAATGAATGAATGAGGGGGGGGGGACACTATCTTTTACCTAATTTGGCCAATTTTAAGGTAGAATTGCATGCATCCTTCAAATATAGTGTAAAAACAGACACTATATTTGTGTGTGCTATGTATTGTGTTGCTAGTTTAGAAACATGCTGTCAAACTTGATTCACATTCACATCTTCAGTTCCACGATGGTTATGTTGTTGTCATAGCTCACTAGAGCTCGTGTGTGTGTGTGTGTGTGTGTGTGTCTCATCCTGAGTGAAACTATGTTAAACTCATCAGACAGTTAATCTGAGCCTTTGTATTGCGAGGTGTGAATTGTGCTAAAGTGTCTCTAGGATTGTATTAACACTTTTCACACCTACAGAACAATAGAATCGAATCAGCTCCTCGTGGCTTCAGCTGCCCTGTGCTCTTATAGTGAGGTCAACACAATAGAAGAATAAGTTTGTACTGTCTGGAATGGTGAACTGGAACTGTCTGACTTGAGTGTTGTCGAGGGAGAATGCTTCTTCTGATGTATCATGTATCATGTAATATACAGATATTATTTTTTAGAATTAATTATTTGCACAAGCCTTTAACTTTAGCATCAAACTTCAGCATTCATCCTGCATAGTAGGGATGAAAAGGAGGGACCCGAGCCACATCTAAAAAGCAGAAACTACTCCCACATTCTTTTTAGTGCAGCTCAGACATTTGTGATAACAATGTTGAAAAATAAAGCAATATTGTAATATAAAACAGTAATAGTTTTACAATTTAAAATAACTGTTTTCTATGTGAATATATTGTAAAATGAAATTAATTCCTGTGATCAAAGCTGAATTTTCAGCATCATTACTCCAGTCCAGTGTCACATGATCTTTAGAAATCATTCTAATATGCTGATCTGCTGCTCAAGAAACATTTCTGAGTATTATCAATGTTGAAAACAGTTGTGCTACTTATGTTTTTTGTGGAAACCATGGTACATTTTTTCAGGCTTCTTTGATTTTATTTGAAAAAAAAGTAAAAAGTAAAAAGTAAAATTCCTTACTGTTACTTTTGATGAATTGAATGCATCCTTTCTGAATAAAAGTATTAATTTCTTTCAAAAGAACAAACAAAAAATAAATCTTACTTAGCCCAAACATTTGAACTTTTGTACATACAAAAGTGAATACAGTTAATTCAAGTTTAATTTAAAAAATCTTAGTTTTGTCATTAACATGAATTATCTTGAATTTTGAATTGGCTGAAATGTGTCTATAAATTAAATTATTCTTAACAGTGTTTTTCACTTAGAAATTAATTTTAACAGGCACAAAGAGAAGTGTTTAGAGCACTGACACCATGTATTAGTCTTTCAGACGCAGTGCTTCAAGCTAATCTGTGGTGAAATGATCTGGCATGTTTACCAGCCGCTGCTTTCCCAGATCGGCTAGACTAGAGGGATTAAAACTTTATATTCCACTGACTTGCTGAACACTGTAATGTTCAGAATATCTCTACTCTCTCTCAAAAAGTTGTAATAGTTTAATCTGCTTGCAGATATTTATTTTAAGGGTGTTTAGGGAACTAGGTGACTACAGCACATTGAAAACATACAGGAACATAAACTAACTGGCCACATTATTTAAATCAGAAGTACATTAGAGCTCAGTGCAAGTAATTAATGTTTTGGGAGAGGGTTATTTTACACATACACACTACTAGTTTGCAGCTGTTCCAGTTCTGTTGTTCCAGCTGCATTAAGTCGCAGTAACACTAGACTTTGCACTGAATTCACTTCCATTCATACACATGTTAAAAGCAAGAGATTGGAAACACAAACTCATGTGAAGAAGTTTCATCTTCCGCTGCGTACCGGAGTTCACCTGTAAGATAAACTGTGTCCCGACAGAGGATCTAAACATCACAGATTAACCAGTTGACTAAATTCGAAGAAAAGCATGGTCTGCAGTGTAGTAATAAACCCTGATTTGTATTCAATTATCCTTTCTTTTACGTAATGTCAGTTTACAATAAGTGCAAATAGCCTGTCTGGTTGGCAAAGGTTATTTACACTAACTCCACCCACTATTGTTTGATTGATTCAGAGAGCATTACAAAAGAAACCAAGTTGGCAACTGGGACAGTAGCAGAGACTAGCAACAATGGATTTAGCTTTTGACAGTCGACCGACATGAATCTGCCTTTATCTGATCCAATGCTTCTCCCTTTTTCTATCGCATATCAGTTCAGAGAGGCGTTTATTTAAAATATTTTGTTACCACCGTTGTTCCTTTCCTGGACTCTTTATATACAGACCAAAATGGCCTAGTTGAGTCCACACACACACACTTCCATTTTTCTATATGACTCAGCATATGCAATATAGCGAGAGTGGAATGTGGGCAGCACTCTGTTGTGAAATGTATGTGAAACTGAGCCTCATTTAGATGAATGACATCACGACCTTAAAGGTGGGGTAAGTGATTTCTGGTAGCTAATGTTGACATTTGAAATAACCAAAACAAACACCCCCCTACCCCAAAAGGGTCTTGTCCCTATTTTGATAGCTCCGCCCCACACATACGTACGCAACCCAGGCAA